CTCTTCTTCTTTTTTAAAGACCGGGGAGGTGAGAGAGGCAGGAGGGTTACGAGCAGGTGTGTGTGTGCGGGTGCCTTCCCTGTCAGATGATGTTTTTCTGCCTGTTGGTTTTCGATTAACTTGTGCCGGGGCGTGTGGTTGATCGTGGCTGGCGGGGGGAGGAGGGAGGTTGCGGCCCGACATCAGCCTCCTTGGGCCTGCGCTCTGCCCCGGGCCCTTGCCGGCGCCCCCACCCTGCTGCTGGCGCTCCTTGGCCCGGGTTGCGTTCCCTGCCCCTCGGCCTGCTGCTCCCATGCCCCCCCCCCCGCCTGCCTTCGGACAGGAGATCCCTCATCCCGTGCCCCCTGGGTCGCTTCGCCCGGCGGCGGGGGGGGGGGCGGGTCTCTCGCCTGGCAGTGTGCTGAGGGGGGCCCTTGGGGGAGAGATGCTTGCTGCCAGCATGGCTGGCCGTCTCCTGCACCAGACCAAACTCCTCAGGGGCCCAGAGAGCCCGGAGCGGGTGTGATGCTCCTCCGCGGGGGGCCCTTCCCTTCCCTCCCTGGAGAAGGCACTCCGGGTCTCTCCCACTGACCAGGGCTTCCTTGAGCTGCAGAGATCTGTGGTCCTCGGCCTCTCCGGAGCTGGGCCTTGACTTCTGCCTCCCCTTGGAAGCTTGGATCACCCCCCCCCCGGGGAAGTGTGGGCCCAGGCATGTTTACTTCGAAGTAAGCCCTGCTGTGTCCAGTGGCTCTTGCTCTCAAGTAAGTACTCACGGGCAATGCTCCCTGTAAGCTGTAAGCTGTGGAGAGTCTTGTGAGCAAAAATTCTTCTTTGTGAGCTACTGGCATTAAAGTTGCGAGCGAGCGAGCGGGCTACTGCATAAATGAGTTGGCTATGGAGCCCCATCCTTCCTGAGCTAAGGCAAAAATGTGTGAGCCGGAGGCTAAAAAACTGTGAGCTGGCTCACGCTCACTCAGCTTAGAGGGAAGACTGCTCACGGGGTTGCAGCCTTGCTTTTTGGAAACATCTGTTCCGGTTATCTTCCTCTTCTCCCTTCTGTGAGTCCTTTTCTCACCTCTTGCTTTTTAAGCAATATCTAGACGTTACCCCCCCCCGCCCCATGGGACCTGTGGGGGCTGCTGGAGGGTAGCGGGGTGGGTGGGGGTTGGCTGGATGCGGAGAACTTATGGCCGGATCTCAGGACTGGGACCTTGGGGGCTTGTCTCCCTGGTAGAGATGTGAAGGCCCGGAAAAAAACCCAGAAAAATTCAGGGGAAAAAAGTCGTCCCCCCCCCCTTTTTTTCCCTAAAGCCTTTCTGTTTTTTTTCTGAAAAATTGAAGAAAGAAAAGAAAAGGAAAAAAAATGATTATGGAACATTTATTTTAACACGATGAATAAAATATTTTAAGACTAGGTGTTCAAATATTTTCCAAATCATTTCTAAAAAATATGTATGGTATCAGATTGATCTAATTTCTGTGCACTGAGGACAAGCAAGTCCTAGGTTACCAACTGAACTCTCCAATGCAAGAACAAGATGCATTTCTTCCTTTAGGAGGTGCTGTTGTCACAAGAAAAGAAAAAGGTTTCAGTTTTGTTCTTGCATGTGGGTGGGCATTCTATTTGTAATAACTGTTTGGATACACTGTATTTTTAATATGCTAGTTGTGATAATTTCATGCCAAGTAAAAATGTCCATAGTCATATTTTATGTTCCTAAAGTAACAGAATGACTTTCAATCTAGAAAAAAAAAAGCGATAATGTAGCGTTCCCCCCCCCCCAATTTTCCTGAAAATTTCCACCCCACCAAAAAAACCCCCCGGATTTTTCCCCCGAGCTTCAAAATTTCCGGAAATTTTACATCTCTACTCCCTGGGGCAGCCCTGCTCTTCTCCTCTGGTGGTCCCAGCTGGCATTTGGAGGAGGGGGAGGGCTGGCGGAGACCCTCCAAGCAGCGCAGCCACTTCTCCTGGAATCCCTCTGGGAGGGTCTGGAGACCAAAGCTCCCCCTAAGCCGTGGCATCTTGTGAGCAAAAAACTCTACTTTGTGAGCTCCTGGCACTAAAGTTGTGAGCGAGCGATTTGGCTGCTGCATCAATCAGCTTGCTCTGGAGCCCCATCCCTTCCTGAGCGAAGACAACAATGTGTGAGCCGGAGGCTACAAAACTGTGAGCTGGCTCACACTTGCTCAGCTTAGCGGGAACACTGCTGGAGACCCTTGTGAACAAAATGCAGAGCTCTGGCCAGGAGCTCCAAGGTTCGCAGAAATGCCAAGGGAGCGGTACGCGAGATCCAGGTTTACCCACAAGGAGATTTTAGTAAAGCGTTGAAACTTACAGGAAATGCTGGCGGAGCTCCCACCAGCTGGGCCTCGAGCGCATAAATGTGGAGCAAAGCATGCCAGAATGTGAGACCGCAGGCGTGACTAAAACCGGGCGCCTCATGCACTTTTGGGGGAGCCGGGCCTTCTTGCACCTGGCCCCCAGTGGGTGGGTGGGGGAGGAGAAGACACAGCCCAGGCGTTGAAGATGAGGTGGCCGCTGGCAAGCATGAGCAAGAGGGGAAGGCTCCGTCCTCCCACAAGCCACGGGGCAACTTGGCACCAGCATGTCACAAAGATGGAGTCATGCAGGCCATGCAGCCACTGTAGGGGGGGGGAGGGCAGGAGAGGGAATGGAGGGGAATCGTCCCATCCTGTGCTGGCGCAGGGAGGAGGAGGAGGGGGGGATCTGGCCCGCTTCCCTGTAGCATCTGCCAGATGCTGCTGTCTTGTGATCAGTGTTCCCTCTAAGCTGAGTGAGTGTGAGCTAGCTCACAGTTTTTTAGCCCCCGGCTCACACATTTTTGTCTTCGCTCAGGAAGGGATGGGGTTCCAGAGCAAACTGACTTAGGCAGTAGCCGAATCGCTCGCTCAAAACTTTAACGCCAGGAGCTCACAACGCCAGGAGTTTTTGCTCACGAGACTCCACAGCTTAGAGGGAGCATGGCTTGTGATCCACCAGGGCCCCCAGGCCCTTGGAGAGGTTTCTTGGGATAATCAGTCGGCCGTTGGGGGATGTCAGGGGCAGGTGTGTTCCTTGCGTGCATTTCCCCATAGGCTCCAACCAGGCTCTGCTTAGTGGTGGTGAGGTGAGAGCGTCAGCTGGAGTCTCGTGGAACGGGCGCGTGGCTCAGGGTGGGTCCGCCTGGCCCAGGCCTCTGAAGGCCCCGGCCGCTGCCCAAGGCAGGAGGCGCTGGAAAGGGGCCTCCCTTACTCTCCTGGGGGCCAGGCTACGTCGGGGCCATCCGGGGTCTGTGAGGTGCTGCTGACCTCATCTGACCGGAGACTTCCGTCGTGGATGGCGAAGAGGAGCTCCCCGAGGCGGGGGACACGTTTCACGGAGGGGCTGTGCCTTCCCTCTACACCTCTGTGCCCCTGGAACGGAGCAGGTGGTGGTGGTGGTGGGGGAGTCACTGCTCTCCCGGTCACTTGTTGTCTTCTCCGGCTGAGGGTGGGTTCTGTCTCACTTGGGTGGGCCTCAATCCTCTCCCCCCCCCCCGTGAGTCCAGCCCCTCGCTCTTCCAAGGCAGACTCCTCACAGATCTGGGCTCTCCCACACCCTGCCCCCCCACAGGGCAAAGTGGATTGGCGGAAGTGACTGTGGCTAAGCGATGAGTGGAGGCCTGCAGGAGGAGGAGGAGGAGGAGGTCAGGGTTGATCCAGAGCCCCTGGGGCCGCCCCAGAAGCTCAGGTCCCGAGCGGCTTCTGAGGCTTCCTGTGACCCCACCGGCCCGCGGGGGGCCTTGGGACAGAGGAGGGCGCCTGGGTCCTGGCCTGGGTGGGGGCCACCGGCACAAGGCTCCTCCTCCGGCCCTTTCGATACCTGTGGCGGGACATCCTCTCAGCTTGGCGTTGCCTGGACGCTGCCGTGCCGTGGAGGGCGGAGCCACGTACATTCTGGGGAGGGGTACGTTCCGTGATGCAGTGCCCACTGTGCAGGGCATCTCTTCATCTGAGGAGTAGGGGTGATAGGCATGCACTCAAAACCCAAATAACGGGCTGGAGAGGGGGACGGGCCGACCGTGCTGTTTGCTTGTCTGAGAAATAAGGGCCCGGGATGGTCTCTTTGCCAGGGAGCTGGGTGCAGGAGGTGGGGCTCCCCGGTGGCCTCCTCTGGCCTCTCCGGGGCCCGGGCTCCCTCCTGCTCTGCTCCCCATCACACCCTTCCTCCGAGGAGCGTGGGGCTCCACACCGTCTCCCTGCTGTATGTTTTCACACCAGCTCTGCGAGGTAGCGGAGGCTGAGGGAGAGAGCTCCTTGCGAGCCTCACAGTGGAGGGGTTCGATCCGAGTCCGGAAGCGCCTTAGAGACCGGCAAGATTTCCAGGCCCCTGGGCCCCGTCAGAGGCACTCCACAGAGAGCTAAGTGGGGATTTGGACTCAGGCCTTTTGGTCATAGCCCAAGACCCCAGCCCCTCCCTCGCACGACCGCCCTTGTTTCCCACGTCACAGGCTTAAGATTGGTTTCTCTAGAGTGTGGCTCCTGCTGCAGGAATTCAGTCAGTCTCCAGAGGACAACCCACTCTTCTCCGGTGTAGTTTGGTGTCGTGGTTAAGTGCGCAGAGGACTCTAATCTGGGGGAACCGGGTTGGATTCCCCACTCCTCCTCCACTTGCACCTGGCTGGATCACCTTGGGCAAGCCGTAGTTCCGTCAGAGCTGTTCTCTCAAAGAGCAGTCCTCGAAAGAGCTCTCTCAGCCCCGCCTACCTCCCAGGGTGTCTGTCTGTTGCGGGGAGGGGGAGGGAAAGGAGTTTGTCAGCCGCTCTGAGACTCCTCTGGGTAGTGAAGGGCCATGGGGTATGAATCCAATCTCCTCCTCTTCTCTTGGGGAGGAAGGGGGCACAAGAAGCCTCCCCGCCTCCTTCCAGTTGGTACTGGGGGCCTCTGGCGGCATTTGCGAGCCCCGGGTGTGGAGACGACATGGGCCAGCGTCACTCACGTCCGTTTCCTTCTTTTCCCGATGCAGGCTCTCTCGTGTCTGAAGAAGCCGAGGATTTCCGGGTCTCAGCGGGGAACATGGACAGCGAGGGGAAGCTCATCAACAAAGGCGAGGAAGAGGAGATGGTAATGGGTGTTTCTCAGCCGCCGAGCAGGCATGCCGCCTTGCCTTCCCTCTCTCTGGAGCAAGTGGCACCCGTGGAACTGGAGGAATGTGGCACAGAGTGCTCCTTGCTGTGGAGCCGGGGTGGGGTTGGGCCTGTCGTGGGCCAAGCCTTGCTTTGCAGTCCAAAGGGCGTTGTGCTTCTTCAGAGAGCCCGTCTGGGGCGGAGCGCTGCCTGCATGGGCCCCGGAGCGGCCTCCTTGCGGGCAGAGTGGCCTGGCACCTGCCGTGGCACCTGGTGGCAGTGTTCCCTCTAAGCTGAGTGAGTGTGAGCCAGCTCACAGTTTTTTAGCCTCTGGCTCACACATTCTCGCCTCTGCTCAGGAGGGGATGGGGCTCCGGAGCAAACTAATTCATGCAGCAGCCCAATCGCTCGCTCACAACTTTCATGCCAGGAGCTCACAAAGTAGGGTTTTTGTTCGCAAGAAGGCTCCACCGCTGAGAGGGGGAGGCTTGGTCCCGGTGGCCTCTCTGGATCCTTGGGCAGAAGCCCCGCTCGGCTGGGCGGCCCCTGCCGCTTTCCTCCAGCTTCTCAGCCCGGCCGCTCTGCTCCTGGCCCGAGTCTCTCGGCTCTCCTCCCTGCTCCGGCTCCGGGACTACGAGGGGGGCTGCCCGGCCCTCAGGCTCTCGGCCGGTACTGGGGTCTGGAGCTTGCGGTTGCCCTCCCCTCCTCCGGGGAGACCCGCAGTGCTCCTCTGGCCTCCGGGCTGGATTAGTCAAAGGCGGACGGACCGGATTGGACCGGCAGCCGTGGCTCGATATGCAAGATCCCCCCTCTTGGCCAAGCTGCCGGCCCCGCTCCACTCCACGGCCGCTGCCCCCCCCCCCCGTGTAATAGGCATAGGCAGCTTCCTTTTATCGTGCACATTCTTATTCAGGGGTCCCCGGCTAGGGACACGCTTCATGTTTTTTCCGTGCTAAGTGTGCCCCCTGAAAAGGAGGGGTCTGTGTGTGTGTGTGTGGGGCCCCCTGAGCGTATAGCCCCTGTCCCTCGGCCTCTTCTTGCGGGGGGAGAGCGGTGTGTGGGGGGGAAGTGCGGTGCAGGCCCTGCTCAGTGCTGGACGGGGGGAGGGGGTTTTGCACTTTTTGGCCACCGTGTGACAGACAGAGTGTTGGACTGGAGGGGCCACTGGCCTGATCCAGGATTGGCTTCTCTTCTGTTCTTAAGGCAGCCGTTTCCTCGCCCTCTCGGTCTCCCGTAACGCGGAGAGGTGGGGAAGCCCGGTGGCGGTGGCGTGGAAGGGTGCTCCGCTTGCCTCCTGGCCCCTCTTCTTTGCAAGAGCTCTGCCGTGGCCTCTGTGGCCTTTTGCTGTAGGCGACCCGCTGGGCCTTTCTAGCAGGGGAAACCAAAGGCGGCAGCCCTCTGAGTTGATCGGCAGGCTTCCCCCCAAACATGCCCCGGTGGGCTCCAGGGCCAGGAACTGCCCCATAGAGACCGTTGGCCTGCAGCAGGGGAGACGGCCCTTTCCCAGCCCCCCTGCAGGCTTTCCTGCTCTTCCCAAGTTGCAAAGTATCTACCCCCCTTCCGGCCACCGCCCTTGTTGTGGCTGCTGATGTCTGCTCCGGTCGTCATTCGGGGCCGGAGAGGGGGCAGGCCAGACCAGCCTCTCTCTCGGGGGGGGGGGGTCTGCCTGGGGGCTCCTG